AGACTTAAAAGAGATTCTTTCCTATGCCAAATATGCCACTCTTTCTAGATGCTGAAGGGCATCAGGACATTGTGCAGGTATGGGGCAAGGAGTAATTGTTTTTTTCTGCCAAGCTCTTTGTAACTGAGTACATTCTCTTCTGAGTAGACTCTTCGGTTTGAGACCTTGAGAGGGTGCTGGCTTCATGCGAACAAAGCCATTCCCTGTCCTATAATCTGAAGCATGTGACTTATCAGACCATTCATTCATTCAACTGCTATCTACTGGGCACATACTAGATGGCAGAGACTGTATTAGGCACTGGAGACACAGTAGTGAACAAGACTTTCCCAAGTTTTACTATGAGCCCACAGGAAGCAGAGAAAGAGATGGGATCTGTTGGTGAATCTCTGGCCTGAGCTTGCCTGCCCCTGATGCCCAGTGACAGGCTAGCCCTTCTAGTGATGTAATATCAAGGGTCACTGGGACCCACCAGATGAACATCTCATCTATGAAGCCACTTTTCAATGTGTTACTACAGCTGCAGAGGTCCCGTTATAAGGAATCTATGATGTCCTCCTAACTGCACGACATGTGTATAATCTACTTTATCCACAGTTTATGTATATCCATGTCACACCCATTTGATATGCATACACTTATTCTGTTTTAGCACTGAAAGTTCTCAATCGCAGGAAGCCCTCAGTCCTGGGCAAACCGAGAAGGTAGCTGGCACCATCCCACAAGAGGGCATTTCACTTCAGGTGGCTTCTTAGATAGCTGAAGCTTTTACTTCTATAAACATTAATACTTTTAAAAATTGTAATCATCTTTGAATAAAATATTTCTAGGTTCTGATGTATACTTACCTGTCTTCTGTTTAATTTCCAAGCTATGAACTATCACTGATGGCAGTGTGTCCTTTAGAAGTAGACAAAATTAGGCATGTTTGGGTTGTATATAAACTAAGACTAAATAGGCTCTGAGTGGGGGGCCCGAAGCTTTCTTATATGCATAAAGCCCCCTCTATTGATCACTCAGGGACTTTGGTTCTCTCTCTCTTTCTTTCTTTCTCTCTTTCTTTCTTTCTCTCTTTCTTTCTCTCTTTCTCGTGTCAATTACTACCTTTCTCTCTCTTTTCATCACCATCTCCATCTCCATCTCTATCTCTAGCTTTCTGTCATTATTTCTTGGCTCACAGCTTTATTATAGCTACTTAAAGTTGTCAGCTGACTATTGGATAAATGAACTTTGTATAGTCTGCTACGTTGCTTAGTGCTTATATAAAATTTACTTCTTCAGTGTTAATGTGTTCATCACAATTCATGTACTATTGATGAAGGAAATGTGTATTGGGTAACAAATGTTACCCTAAATGTACTGATCCTTATGTCAAAATCTGCTGGTTTGCAAAGAAATATATGTATCTGCAATAGAGTAATCAACTTTATTCTCATTTGGATAACTCACTAGGTTATTTAAAACTTTTGGAATTTTCAGCTTTGAGCTGAGATAAACCATTTTTAAAAGGATACTGTATACAAGGAGAATTAATTCTGCAGTTCTTGAAAATCATTAAAGTCAAGTTCACCAAGTCTAAAATTTTCAGCTGTGCTTTCTAAAGGTTTCATTGTTCTGTTTATTCTGTTTATTATCAGTCAGAGATAACGACATTGAGACATTCCTCCCTCAATGAGTCAACACTTCACTGGGTTTTAGATGGCTCTAAATGATGTTATGCATTTTTAAAAGGCAGCTAGGGGCTTATCTGCAAGTGGAATCGCAACATATACCACGTGTACCATGTATAACTGCTTAGCATACATGTATCTCATGGGTAGTTTTGTGGCTATAAAAAAGCATGCAATGGGCCTGTGTACCCAGACACCTAATCTGCATAACCTCACCTATGGGATTTTCGTGTGTGACCTGGTCTCTATCACTCTGCCATAGACGTATGACCTCAAGTTTTGCTTTTTCTTCCATGTAATTCCAGGAAGAAGATATCATCCAAGAAAGCCGCTTTTATTTCCGTGGCTATGGCCTGGGTCACTGCCTGCAGGCAAGGGATGGAGGTCCGAAGGAAAGTTCTGGAATTTATAGCACCCAGCTTCCAGCCCCTCTTCTAAGGGAGGGAGAAACCATGCGGAAACTCTATGTGGACCGAGCCAAGAGGATTGACACCATCTCTCGGGCTGTCTTTCCTTTCACTTTCCTCATCTTCAACATCTTCTACTGGGTTGTCTATAAAGTGCTACAGTCAGAAGATATACACTAGGCACTGTGAATAGTGTGTAGTCTAGAGAATCCAGCTGTTGGCTTCCTGCTTCCTCCTGGGTGGGCTTTCCCCCTCCATTAGATTCCATCAGGAGCTTGGACAGTTCCTTCCTGATCTCTCAATCAGAACTTCATCAGCCAATCCCAAAACTCTGTGGGTTTACATTGCATAATGCCAATGGTGGCTGTACTTAGAAAGATGGTTTGTCTACCCTAATCCAGAATTTCTCCATGCTATCCCATTTCTCAAGAGAGCAAGTTTTGGCCATGTCCCTGGGGCCAGGATGACCTTCTTCCCTTGCTGAAGCCTCTCTGTTTTCCATTTCTCCAGTGGAGAATATTCAAACCACTGCTACTAGGTTTTGGCATTTGTCATCTTAATCTGCACCACTCTTTGCCTTGCCACCTCTCACTCAGAGCCTGGCCTTTACTGTGCCCTCTGTCCCTCCTACCACAGGCTCAAATAAGGAGTCTTTCCACCCACAGATGCTGCCCTGTGTGACCCAGTTAGGTTTCCCTCACTATGAAAGGAAAACGAGGGGACAAGTTCTCTACCTCTCAGCAAGATTTAGACAGTAACAGGCTGCACTGAGGTAAGGTATTGCTATATGACCCAACAGAGATGTTTTCAAGCCTCCTAAGATGCTCGACACTGTCAGAATAGGATCAGGAATTTTGTACTCAGAAATACCACCCTTCCAGATCCACCTGAACTTCCTTGTCTCAGAAATATTTGTTTTATTCTCTAACTAACTAGCATAGTGACAGGGCATGTTTGGCTGCTGGGGAGTGTAAAAAGAAAAAAAAAAATCTTATTCTTTGAGAAACTTACTCAATTATGCTAGAAAATTTTCAAGAAAAATGAAATCTATGGTAATAAGACTCAGGAGTAGAATACAGAAACTATCCTCACAAAGTCTTTTGTTGGCTGGGGTTTCCTTTTTAACTTCTTTTTCTCCAAAGTTTCTTTATTTACCAGGACACCTCATTTCCAACTTGTTTTTTCACTTCTTTTTAGTGAGAAAATAATAGTGCCATGCAACCTGGGAGTAACTATGCATATAGAGGATTCCTATCCTGGATAAACATTGACTTGGCCAATCTTCAGGGTAGTAATTAGAACTCAGACAATCATAAGTTGGAATTATTTCTTAACCCTTCTCTAGCTTCCCTTCTCCTTCAACAGTGAGGAGGGGTAGCAGTCAATTGAAGCTACCAGAAATTTCAGAATAGAGAGGGTTGTGGAAGAGTCTATTTCAGACCTGACATACTACTGGGACATGCAGAAGCATGGGCCTGCTATACTGAGTCCTTTGAAATGATCCAATTGTGAGAAACCGAAAAAAGGAAGATTAAAGTATAGGACTAATAGCTGGAAGACAGAGGTGATCAAATGATTAAAGATCTTGACCTTTTTCCTGGACTAAGAATAAATAATTATGTGAGTCCAATGTCTCTCTCCATATCTCTCTGTCTGTCTGTCTGTCTGTCTGTCTCTCTGTCTGTCTGTCTGTCTCTCTCTCTCTCTCTCTCTCTGAATTCTCTCCCCTTTGCTCCCTCTCTTCATCCTTCCTTCTCTTTCTCTTTTCTTCAAAATGGTGTTCCAAATTGAAAGGCAATAAATCCAGAGACCAAAACAAATGAAGCCAAGAGCTCGGCTTTCTTTCCCCACCTTTTCCTATTGATCTTGTCTATTCTTTCCTGTTCACTGAGATACTCCTCTTGTCTGTCTCTAGACTTTTAGGAGAACATTCTATGCTGACCAGGGTAGCTGGACCAGAAATTAATCTTATTGATGTTATTATGACTGGTACCAAGAAGATTCAAAACTAAAGGACTGCTTAGGGGAGGAAATTGAATTGAGAGGGCAGAGAGTCCCTGTTTTCCCATTTCTGCCTAGGTAATGCCAATCAATGAGAGACCACAAGCAACACCCTTTTGAAAGAAGCAGAGAGTATCTCTTTGATACTCTCTATGGCAGGGCTGGGGTGTCAGGCTGCTGCAGCTCGAGGCGGGGGTAGCAGAGGGTGGGGTGGACTATGGGGATGAGCTTATCACACAGAGCTCTACTTGTTAGAGATCTCATCCAGATGGGCCAACTGCACAAATCTGCCCTGTTGGAAGTCTCATGAACAATGCTCTGGAGACAGCTACTGCACTGAGCAGTAGAGCCTGCCCAACCGGGATTCAGCTCAGGGCATCAGCTGGTGCTGTGAGCCAAAGAAGCCAAAGTACCAACCAACATAATAGCCCCAAGGAGTTCACAAAGCTACTCAGAGGCAATGCCAGGTGGATGGTACTGTCCCTCTCCATCTGAGCCCCCAAGCGGAGAAGGGCGACACATGATATCACAATCAGGTACAAATGGCTTTCATTTTCCTCACCCTTTCCACACATGTATTGGGGAAGGGAAGGATGCTGGGTCCCACTGGAAACATCTGACACCTATAAATCCATTCAATCATGAAATTCTTGAACTTGGACTCTTCTCACCATAGTGAGTTGGCAGGAAGTGATAAAAGAGACTCACTTGGAGGTCACTTCCATTTACCTTCATTTTTATAGTACTCCACCCTTCCAGAGACCCATACTACTTTCTACTTGGATCACATATGAAGTGATTTTAAGTTTTAAAATAGCATAGCATATTTTATGAAGGAAAAAAACTTCCCACATAAACTGTTTTGGGTGTTTTCATTAATTCATTGCTAATATTTAATGCCAGTTAAATATTTTATACATACGTTTTTCCAGAGAAAGGGATTTATTTATTCAGTTGTTGAGGCTTCAGTTTGCTCTCCTATTGAAGAAACCAGTGATTTGTCTTCCTCTTGCCCCTCAATCCACTAGCAGGACCTCTTGTTCTCTCAGAACCCACAGTCAAATCAAAAAGAGCTTTCTGTGTAGAAGCAAGGTAGAGAATACAGTTTATTATTTTTACTTTCTCCTATAAGCCTTTTCCCAACCTATCATAAAAGAACTTACACTCTTCTAGTTAAAATGTTAAGTTGACTCTTGAAGTTCTTTTTCCTTTTTACTGAGCTATACAAATATCCCAACTTTGTCCAGAACATATCACCTCCTGGGAATCTTTACATGTGTCCTCACTTGCTTCACTTCATTTTCCATTTACTATTATCAATGTTGTAATAATTATTATCATCTTACCATTTCTGGCTGTCAAAATCTTAAATTCAAATTCTTAAATTAAATTAAAATTAAAAATATGTTGAGATTAAAGATCTTCCCAGGCTGCTCTGCTAATGAAAAACAAATCATCCAAGCATGGGAACCACCAAGTGATTAGGAATCCAGGTAGTGTGATCACTTGCTGAATGGAAGGAATGTAGAATCAGCCCTTTGAGGGCAGGGATTGCATCTTATAAAACTTTTTAGTCCACACAGCTCTGGATATATAGCATATGTATATGTAAAATAAGAGCATGACTTCTCACATGGTTTATTATAGACCACATTTCTATTCAACTTCTTTCCATTCGCCCATTGATTACAGAAAAACAGACCTGGAAAGGAACTTATAGAATCAGATAGAATGCACATATACACACACACTCACACACACGCATGCACTCACCTGCACACGCTTGCTCTTGGGTATAACAGAACCAAAGTTAAAAAGACATCAAAACCCAATAAATTATATTGTCAAATAAAGAATGATAATTATTCGATTAAACATCAATCCTATTCCAAATATGAAGACAAGTATCAAGTTATATTTCAAAAAGCAATCACCAAAGAAAACTTTGGCAGTGACAAGCAAGTACAGTCAAGGGTTTTTTGGCAGTAAAACCACCTGCCTCTTCCTGCTCCGCATGCTGTTCCTACTAGAGAGCCAGTCATCTCTGAAGGGATGGCAGTTAGGCTGTTCTTCCCAGCCTAACATTCCTTGCTCCATTATACTTCACATCTAAGATAACATTTACAAGTTTACAAACTTGGAGTAGTGGCATCAGAACAGCATGTTAGCAAATCTTAGGCCAGGAAGAGGAAGAACATCTGAGCCAGAGGCTTTCTCGCTCACAGAGTTTTCTCTCCATGGAAGAATGCAGTATGGCTGCTGTTATGAAGTAATCTGAAAAAGTCACATGAGAACTCAGCTATTGCTGAGTAGCTCTGGTTTTCTCAGTCTCTACTTTCATCATGAGGTTTTTTACAAATGTCCTGGCCGCATTATACCGGGCGGTGCATTACCAAGGAAGTACATGCTTTCACTATCAACTCCCTGGAACAAGGGCAATTCTTACTATCACTTAAGTCTTAGGGACATTTTGCCTTACATAGCTGGATCTAGAAAAATGTGCACGTATTTTCTATTTGAATAACTTTCATTCACGACAGTATAGTGATTAAGAGTGTGGCTTTGGTACCAGACAGAGCCCGGGTTCGCATCATAAGTCCATTATTCACTGGATATGGGTTCTTGGATAAATGACTTCATCTCCCTCAGCCTCAGTTTCCTCTTCTAAAGGGTCATTTGAAGGCTCTGAAAGATCTAGCACATGATAACTATGTGGTGTGATCTTGAACAAATCATCAAATCTTTCTGTGATTCAATTTTCACATCTGTTAAATAAAGGTGATAACAGTACCTGCCTCATAATGTTGTGGTGGGAATTAAATAAGAGAATGTAGGCATGGTGCTTCAGTGTTTGGCTCATAGTAAGTACTCATGAAGATTAGCTATTATATGACCAGACCATATCATTGTAGTCTCTTTTTTACATCTGCAAATTTCTAGCACCTGGGCCTGGTTTGAACATCGGATTGTTGTCTCATTTTGCTGAGTCCACACTCACAAAAGCACAAATGGGGTCAAGTTAAAATCATCTTTCTTTCATATTTTCAGTCTCTCCACTGTCTCTGGGT